TTTCACCATGTTGACCAGGATGGTCTCGATCTCTTGACCTCGTGATCCACCCGCCTCGGCCTCCCAAAGTGCTGGGATTACAGGCATGAGCCACCGCGCCCGGCCAAGCTGAAAGTATATTTTCTAAAATGTGAACTGCACAAAGTTAGAAATGCTTAGATGTCTACCAAGGACATGACATACTATTGCATATTACAGTAAACTCATGGCCAATATCCCTGCGTTGTATATTTTGGGCTTTCAGTACACACTGAAAACTGAAATCATTTAGCACCACATAAGATGTGAACATGATCAGTGCAAAAGGATATACAAGAAATAATACAAAAAGATTTTTTAAGACTCAGATTTTCTTAAGTTTAACATTGGTTCTGAATTTTTGAATTTTATCATTCCTATTTTTGGGCAATTATTACTTAAACAGCATACAAATTACAATAACAGCTTCATAAATAACAGTTTACTTTTGGAAGACAAGTCTTTAAATTTGTAAATCCAGGAAAAACTTAGGGAACTTACAGATGTTTGGGACATACTTGACTGTTGTGTGACACTTCCTGTAGGAGATGTAGATGGTCTTCCACTGGACAGACTTGCCTAAAATAGTAAGACTTTTATAATACGTCGGTAAAAACCTCAAGTTAAGAACTTTCTGGTACCATGGTAACACAAAACCACAATAATAAATGTCAAAAGGCGTATGTACGAAACAACTCATTTTACAGTCAACATAGCTTAAGCTTTGGTTAAACAGATTTTTTAAATAAGAAAAAGCTGAATGGTGAAAACAGAGGATCCAAAGACTAATTTTATTAGCTACTTTATTGTCAGTTCCACTTTATGGGTCTGCGTCATCTTTAAAGTGGAATCACTACTCCATGTTATGAAGAAAAAGTTAGAGCTACAATAAGCGTCAACAAGAGTCAGTGGGTTTCAGTTTCCTAACTTGTATCATGAAAATGTTATTTAAAATTACACTACTAAGAAGCAACAGCTGAGAATCTGTTAGTAACAGAAATAAACCTTTTTCAGGTTCAGTCAACTGAGATCCTCCTCTGGTGAGGAGATTTAAGATTAAATCTTACAGTTTTATTTAAATAGTACAATATAACAAAAATATTTTTTACAAACAAGCTTTTAATAATGAAATCTTGTTATCAGTAGGAATAATACAACTAGATTTTAGAAAGATGGATTTACACATCTTTGTATAGAAAATTTACGGAGAAATACGTATTAAATTGTTACAGTGACCACCTCTGAAGAATGAGAAACAGTGGTAGGCAAGGAAAAGGAACAGCTTTGTCTCTTATGAGCAATTTAATAGTTTCATCTTTTTAATGAGCATAAATACATCATTTTTTAATCTTATTTTTAGTAAAAATATAATTTATGTAAGCCTAAGTATTCACTGTTGTACCTAGAACTTTATACACCTAACCAAACCACTAGCATAGCATTTCTCCAATTTGGATAAAAACCACTGAGATAAAAGCTAGAAACAGAGTAACATAAAAAACATATTCCCTTTTTCTAAATTGGCAATCTATTAATATATTTCCTTCAGGAAAAATAACCACAGGCATCTGAGAATTCTGAAATAATACCCAATGTATTTGTTTTCAGTAACTATCTACAGATAACAGAAACTTTGGTCTCATAAATTCTTAATTTATTTGAGTCTTACCTGAACGGCAGCAAGGCTCTGAAGCTGGCTGCTGCTTAAATGCTGCTGCTGAAGAGCTGCAGTATGCAGCATCAAGTGCTGCTGTTGGGCTGCATACATTTGCTGAAGATATTGAGCAGCTGAGCTGGGGGGCCGATGTAATGCCTGTTGAATCACCTGTGATAGGTCAATTGAACCAATGTCAAACCACAATCTCAACCTTCATCTTAATCAGAAAATGAAAGTATAAAAAAGTGGCAGTTTAAAATTTCACTGCTCTGACACATAATATCATCAAGCTTATTAACATACTTCTTTCCTAGTTACATATGACTTAGGAATCACTAACTTGTATGCATTAAAACTACCCAGTGGGACAAGCATGGTGGCTCATGCCAGTAATCTCAGCACCTTGGGAGGCTGACGTGGGTGGATCACAAGGTCAGGCGATCTAGACAATCCTAACACGGTGAAATCCCATCTCTACTAAAAATACAAAAAATTAGCTGGGCTTGGTGGCCTGTGCCTGTATTCCCAGCTACTGGGAGGCTGAGACAAGAGAGCTGCTTGAACCCAGTAGGCGGAGGCTGCAGTGAGCTGAGATTGTGCCACTGCACTCCAGCCTGGGCAGCAGAGTGAGACTCTGTCTCCAAAACAAAAACAAAAACCCAGTGGACAGTTCACAAAAGACAGGCCAAATAAGCATGTCAAAAGATTTTCAATCTCATCAGTAGTCAAAAACTTACTAATTAAAACAAGATACTATTTTCCAACTTTCAGATGGATAAAGATTTAAAAAAATACTACTAACTGGGGAAACCAATACTCCCGTACTGCTAGTAAAAATTTAAGTTGGCATAAGCTTTTTGGATAAAACTTGGTAGAATTCAGGGCTTGGGTGTGGAGAGATATACCTTTACCATGCAGCCATTACAAACAGTAATGTCAATCAGTGCTGTCCTATACAGGAGCCACTAGTTACATGTGCCTACTAAAAATGTGACTGGTGCAACTAAATAAGTTAAATTTTAAATTGAACTTTTTAAATTTTAATGTAAATAGCCACATGTAACTAGCAGCCACTATAAACTAGAAAACTACACGTTGTTGATACAGATCTATATTTACTAACAAAAAAAACACAGTAGGTTACAAAACAGTATATAATGTATCATTTTTATATTAAAATATTTGAAACACTACACAAGAAAACTTTCAAAGAGAACTAGCTTCTAGTTCATACTTTTCTATAAATGTCTGAATACCTTACAATGAGTTGATATTTATTAATTATCACATAAAATGATAAAGCAGCTGGGCACGGTGGTTCATGCCTGTAATCCTAGCACTTTGGGAGGCCAAGGCAGGCAGATCACCTGAGGTCAGGAGTTCAAGACCAGCCTGGCCAACATGATGAAACCCTAATCTCCACTAAAAATACAAAAATTAGCCCGGCGTGGTGGCATGCACCTTGTAATCCCAGCTACTCAGGAGGCTGAGGTGGGAGAACTGCTTGAACCCAGGAAGCAGAGACTGCAGTGACCAGAGATCATACCACTCCACTCCAGCCTAGACAACAGAGCAAGATTCCGTCTCAAAAAGTAAAAATAAAATAATTATAGTTATTTTAGAAAATTAATAATTATTTTTAGAAATTTTTTAAATGTCAAATACCCTGTTTTGTTTCAATGTTGAATACAACTACTCTTACTTAAAAAATTCCTGGCCGGGCGCGGTGGCTCACGCCTGTAATCCCAATACTTTGGGAGGCCGAGGTGGGTGGATCACGAGGCCAAGAGATCGAGACCATCCTGGTCAACATGGTGAAACTCCGTCTCTACTAAAAATACAAAAAATCAGCTGGGCATGGTGGCGCATGCCTGTAATCCCAGCTACTCAGGAGGCTGAGGCAGGAGAATTGCCTGAACCCAGGAGGCGGAGGTTGCGGTGAGCCGAGATCGCGCCATTGCACTCCAGCCTGGGTAACAAGAGTGAAACTCCGTCTCAAAAAAAAAAAAAAAAAAAAAAAAAAAAAAAAAAAAAAAAAAAAAAAAAAAAAAAAAAAAAAAAATTCCTATGCTTCAGGTAATGGAGGCTTGGATACTAAAGAGAAGAAAAAAAAAAACAGAAAAAATAAAAAAAATTCCTTAAAAAAGTGTTAATTATTGTGAATATTAGTAAAATGTAAAATCTGAGCCTGAAACTTCATAAATAAATATAGAAATGTCAAGTACTCTACTAAAATCAGAGAAAATTCCTACACTTGTCTAAATGGTAAGTCGGGATAAGTCAATCCTACACAACCACATCCAAAAGTCATAGTGTGCTGCTTCCTGTGACTCTGAAACAGCACAGGATCCTGATCTCAGCATCAAATCAGAGTTTTCAAAGAGCTAAGGAAGTAATAGAGCCATAATCCTCTAGCTTAAGGGTCTAAATCAGGACATCTTGAACCGTAATCCTTTTATCTAAATTTCAAGAAAGCATATTTCTGTGTTATTGTTTACTTTCATGTGTTAACATCTCATCTCTCTAGCTACAGACTGCTATGCCTGATACAAATTTCTATCACAAAATCAATGGGAGCTTTTGACCCCTACCTGCAGGGGACTATAGGCCAGATTAAGTGATTCAGAATTATAACAATATATCTTTTTTAGTCAGATCAATCTCTATTTGTTCTTCTAATTCCATAACAAAATTCTAAAATCATTGGACTTGGCAGTTACATGGAAAAAAAATTCTAAGATCAAACTGAAATAACAATCTATTTGATACATATTTTTGTCACAGTATAGTCATTTTTTTCTGTTGTCAGCAGTCTTTCACTACCATTCAATGCTATACTCATAACACTGAGTAAATACAAGTTGTAGGTACAGCACATTGTTCTTATTTATTATAAATTCGAATTTGCCCAAGGAGGGTGAAGAGAATTCCCAGGACTGAAAAACAAAGCTGGAAGATTAAAGAATTACTTAGGTAGTTCAATAAATATTGATTTGATTGCATTTTGGGAGAAGCAATTCTATGGTCTCCTAAGAACAAGAGTTAGTGCTATTAATGAGATATACCTACATCTACATAGCTTTCTATTTCCTTTTTATTAATCTATGCAGCTTAATTGAAAACTAGAGAACAAAACGGTATATTAAGCTATCACTTATCAGTCAGGCGTGGTGGCTCATCCCAGCACTTTCGGAGGCCAAGGCAGGAGGTCAGAAAGGTCAAGACCAGCCTGGGCAACACAGCGAGATTCTCTCTACAAAATACAAAAATTAGCCAAGCATAGTGGCATGTGCCTATAGTCTCAACTACTCAGGAGGCTGAAGCAAGAGGATTACTTGAGCTCAAGGGGTCGAGGCTGCAGTGAGTGGTGATCGTGCCACTGGACTCCAGCCTGGGCAACAGAGAGAAAGAGACTGTCAAAAACAAACAAAAAAACAACAATGAAAAAAACTATCACCTATATGCTTAAAGATCTAAATCCTGGCCAAGCACGGGGTGGCTCACACCTGCAACCCAAGCACTTTGGGAGGTCAAGGCAGGTGATCACGAGGTCAAGAGTTCAAGACCAGCCTGGCCAATATGGTGAAACCCCATCTCTACTAAAAATACAAAAATTAACTGGGCCTGGTGGCACCTGTAGTCCCAGCTGCTCAGGAGGCTGAAGCAGGAGAATTGCTTGAACCGGAAGGCAGAGGTTGCAGTGAGCCAAGATTGCGTCATTGCACTCCAGCCTGGGTGACAAAGCGAGACTCCATCTCAAAAAAAAAAAAAAAAAGATCTAAATCCTCTTCCCTATATCCCTTGCCTCAGAGAAAGGTAAAAAACATCAGGCCAGGCGAGGTGGCTCATAATCCCAACACTTTGGGAGGCCCAGGTGGGTGGATCACGAGGTCAAGAGATCGAGACCATCCTGGTCAACAAGGTGAAATCCCATCTCTACTAAAAATATAAAAATTAGCTGGGCATGGTGGCACGCACCTGTAGTCCCAGCTACTCGGAAGGCTGAGGCAGGAGAATTGCTTGAACCCAGGAGGCGGAGGTTGCAGTGAGCCGAGATCACGCCATTGCATTCCAGCCTGGGTAACAAGAGCAAAACTCCATCTCAA